ACACTAGTATCGCAGAGGTCAGTGGTTCGAATCCCATACAGGCCTGATTTTTTTCGGGTCTGATTTTCGCTATTGCATAAATAGCGCTCTCTACTACGACGATCGTGCATCATACGTAGTGATCAGTTTGTTGTTATCCTCTATTCATAAGATTTATCCAGTTATCATGACAGTTTGTTTTGACAGCCATTTAGGTGCTTGTTCAAAATAAAATTATTTTTTAGGGCTCCACTGAACGAGAAACAGGCAACCAGTGATCCAGAACACATTCATCGAACACAGAACTAAACTATTGCTTCCAATTTAGGTGTTTATTTTCTGTGTTCAGTGAAGCGAGGAAAGGCATTTGAATGTTTGGCCCAAAATTTTTTTTATAAAATCGAGAGGGTGGCAAAATATTTAGACAGTCCACTTGAATCGGTATTAAATTTCTTATGAAATGCTGTGAACATTTGAATATTGCGCTAAAAAAAGTCCGAAGATTTGCTTCGATTAGCTTATCTGCCAAAAATGTTTCCACCTGAAAGAGGTTAAGCCATTGGGCGTGAAGCAACCAAAAATGACCTGCTCTGATTGGCTGAATTCATAAAACACTTGTCACGATTTAAAAATAACTCGAAAATTACGTAATGCTTTTGCAGTGGACTCGAGTGTGGGAATTGATTCAAGGGAATCGAAAATCGTGTCGCGTTTCATCGAAATTTACTCACAAACCTGGTCTTTTTTTTAACGTGGATTGAAAATTATAATGTTGAAGCGTAGCATTGGAGTTGGTTAAAAGCAAGGCTGGTTTTGCTTGTATGACTTTAGACCCCGACTGGTATCATTGTCACACCATACAAATGCTCTATGTTGGAATTCACACAACATGTTTACGGCTTTCAGAGACTTGCTTTAATTTTGGGGCTCCTCGCAGTGTTCACTGTATACAATGGTAAAGATTGGTTGTTTGTAACCACCTCGATACGACCGTGATTTACCGAGTGGTTTCGCTTTTATGTTAAAATCCAACATTGATTCATTTTTCCAATCGTTTGTTTTTATTTTTACTCAGTTGCGAACGATCTCCACTCGAATTCGTGCACTGGAGAGCAATCGACCGCAAAAAGGAACTCATTTAATTTCCGCAAGTTTGGGAACGAGACGGGTTTAGAGGACTGTGTCGATCTGTGTTGCAGAAATGATGCGTGCGAGCTGGCGATATTTTCGCGCGGTTTTCATTGTTATGGTGTTTCATGCGACAAGCCGGAACTTTGCCACAAGATACTAGACCGACTGTTAATGGAGGATGAAAGACAACTGCAGCGAAACCAAAGGAATGCAGGTGAAATATTTACTTAAATTGACCAGCTTTATATAAAACAATTAAAACAGCTAATTCATATAACCTTTTGATTTCCGATCTAAAGTTTTCATCGTGATCACTTCCGGGCAACCACGTTTCGGTAACAAGATAACCTCGTTTCTCTCTCGCTAAAAATTAAATCAAAATATTCAAACCTGGTCTACTTGATTCCAAAAGTAAGGTCCATTAAGCATCAAAGCATTTTGCAATAGAGAATGCAACAAACGATTGCTTAGGCCTGGTTAAGACTTTGACTCTGTGCCTGTTGTACCCAGATCATGCGACACAAATGTTTTCCTGATTGATCGTTAAGACTGTATAAAAAAAAAGTTTGATTCATGTCAGTGATATCTTAATTTCAATTCAGATGTATCTCATGTGTGTAGCGGAATTATGTTTGCTGTGATGTAACGTTCCGAGAGGAAAGGACGCATATATGATCTTATCCAAGAGGTGTTCCCTTTTCACATCACGTTTTTTGTTGGTTGTCGTCTTTGCTACAAGGCTTTTGTCCTGTTTCCCGGCTTTCCCACTTCCCAGTCATCTTAGACCTCCTATTTATCCTATATATCCTATAATTTGTATAGGATCCTATGAAGAGCCTTTATTACACGACTCGGGCGGTCAGAGGGCCCATAACTAAAATCAACCAATCAAAATGTTCTATTGCCGGTCAATATTCTCTCAGTATTGGACCGGGCACTATCCCGTATGATCCCGAATGATCCCGAATGATACCGCATTTATGTCCTTTTGAACTTCAGTCGTATAATAAATCTCTTATTAACCAAGCTTGCTCGGGACCGTACTGGAAGAATATCGGCCCTCGGTCTTTTTTGTACGGACCTCGCTGCGCTCGGTCCGTACTGTCAAGACCTCGGGCCGATATTCTCCCAGTACGGCCCTCGCGCTTGGTTAATAAGATATATATTTCATGAAATCCTCCTATATTTCTAGTAAAATGTATTAAAATAGGCAACTGCCGAATGATACATTTATATTTTTAATGCATTATTTAGCATTTTTGCGGAAAAAAGCTAATTAAAATCTTTCCTATAAATATTCACTCACTATTTCTTATTATTTGGCAAAGCCAATAAAATGAATATTAGAATTGACGTTAACAATATAATAACTGGTCTCCTGTGGTAGTAAACACCAACAAACCGCTACTTGGGTCTCATATTTCCGTTCAACCAAATTTTGTTCTGTTCTGTTTTGTTCTGTTTAAGTTGTCTCGTCTTGGGAGGGCGAGACAAGGAGTTTACATGAGAAAAAGTTGTCCCGCCTGCCAGGGTTACCCTGCCTGCCGAGGTGGGACAACTCGCCCCCTCCTCCCCTCCGAGTTATATCGCCTACCCGAGACGAGTTCACAACCTCAGGAAAATGTTCGGCTGAATTTTGTAAAGAAATGCGCGAAAAGTTATCTCGTCCAGGGCAACGCGGGGGAAAATGGTTTCTCTGGGTACCCGGGACCATAAAAGTGGGGCCTTACTCGGGACCATAAAAGTGGGGCCTTACTGTAGGAAGAACAAGCGGGTGCAGAACTTAACCTAAGGCAGACAGCAAACTACGCGCTCGAGTTTTAGGTTGTTACTTGTACTTTGCTTTCTGAAAACAGCACGCTAAAGTGCAAATTATCCAAGTGTGAAATGTTATTGAAATGCTAAATTGCGTGAAATATTTTGAAAGGTTTGTATCGCTTGGACAGGTGGCGCTATACAAAACCTCTCAAAAACAAGTCTCAAGGATGCCCAAAACTGACCAAGCGATTGGAGGCGATCATTAAACAGACACTAGTATTCTAAACGTTTTGATATGTGCTGAATTATGCTGTAGTTAAAAGACAGTTTGAGAAAATGCAGCCTTATTCCGAAATTTCGTCCTCTTGTGGAACCTGAATTCTTACGATTTGTCTCTTGTAAATAACAGATAAATCGTAGCACTGAAAGATAGACTTGAAGAGTGACTAAGTAAACCTAATACGGCAGCCTTTTTTAAGTCTACGTACTCAGTTTATCTTAGGATCTTAAGTGTATCGCCCAATTTGAGGTCTAAATCTAAGTACTAACCAATCCCAAACTTGTTTTCTTTCAGTTTTTCTTTTTTGTTTCAGAATCGATCGTTAAGGGTACCATAAAATTGTTAAACGTAATTATTATCGCCGCTTCGACGTTGGTGCGAAATTATAATTTGAAATCATTTTAGATGGTGTATCGTGATCGCTCTTAAATTGTGTCTCGCAACACTCAAAAAACATTACAAGAATTATCGCAGAGATGTCCGTTGACCGTGGAGGTCGACAGCACTGGCTATCACCTTAATCACATACATCTGCAGGATCACCTTGTAATGTGGGAAGCTTGAAACGCACGCATTTGTTGACGTATGATTTTATTCCCTCAAGGAATCCAAGCAACAATTTTATTGAATTTTATACCCTCTGTCATAAACGTAATATTTTCTTGCCCGTTTCAATTCTAATATTGGATATTAGCACTACCACGATAAAATATAATTCTCTTTGGATTTTACTTTTAGAAACTACAGACTTTATCAGGCACACGTCACAAGTCACCAACCCAAGGTGTCCCAAACGCTTTGTACCCAGCTTTCATGTCCTTCTCCTCCCTGCGAGTACAACTCGCGAGTTTCACAAATTGTCTCAGCAGTCGGAAGATGGAGGCCAGTGCAGTGCACAGTGCTGTAGGTCACGGGAATGCTTGCTCTCTTTCATCGAAGGTGGAGAGTGTTATGGCGTGACTGGTTTATGGGCTGATGGTAGAAGTACAAAGAGTGCACGAGAACCTACCCTTGGTTTAGAAATTGCTATAATTGATCGAAATAAAGGTCAGTCAAATGTGATTTCCCTGTAATATCGCTGTAAACCGTAGAGCGGATAAAGTCAAGCTGTTTTTTTATAATTAATATAAACGAGCATTGTTTTACGAAAGTAACAACACAAAAAGAAGTAGTCCCGTAAAGCGAATACCTAAATGTCATCCTCCACACTCTTTTCACACACAATGCACTTTTTTTGCTATTCTTTGCTTTCTGCTTCAAGGTTTGTGTTATGGTTGAAAGTTGGTGCAATTCCCAGATATTTGATGTACAAACATACAAGAGAGAACACAGACGAGCATCAATCTGTTCTTCAATCGATTGTCACAGCATGATATTGTTCTTTGCATTGCCACTATTTGAGCAGACACTCGTTACACTTTCTGACAAATAACGTTGGATGCAGAGAATATTTGCACCGTGTTAGACTGCTGGGCACTATGACACAGTAGAATACTTCACCATTCAGGAATAAATTTGTGTTTACTGATCAAGTCTCTTTCTTTCAGAGGTTTCAAGAAGCTTGGATGATGGGGATGAGGACCCAGATGATATAGGTTCCGATGACAGCGATATAAAGTCGTCAGACGTTGAATCGTCTAGGCCTCGGCCAACTGAAGGCGACAGCAACCTGCAGACATCAAAGGCTAGCAAAATATCCTCAACTACAAGAGTAACAGTTGCAAAAGCCAAGGAGAGCGTATTCTCAAACAGGATACCGACCAAAGGACGTACAAAACATAAAGCACAGGTCGCAACTCTAGGGCATGGACAGCATCTGTCAAATCGATCCGGACCGAAGCATCCCAAATTGTTTACCACGAAGAGAATTACGAAAAAAGGTGTACCATTTCATTTTAAAGGCGTTGGAAAGAGAACAACTCCTCCAGTTTCCCAAAAAAGGGCATTCAAATTGAATTCCGACAGCAAAAGTTTGACGAAACAATCAAGCTCAGCAATCAAACCTTCGCAAAGGGTGAGCTCCCCTAAATGTGAAAATGTAACAAAGGTAAAACTAAAAGCAAAAGTTTGGAAGGCTGCTGCAACCAGACAAGGAACCCAAAGAATAGAAACTGGAAGATACTCTAAGAGAAAGCATAATGTCAGACATATGAAACAAACCACAGAGACAACTACTGTGATAAAACCCAGCAGTAGTAGTTTTAAACTATCAAGAAATAGCGGTATAAGTTTTGAAATTGGCGAGAAAAAGCTCGATACTCATTACGAGGGGTCCACTACACGTCTGGTGGAGGGAACAGACCAAGAAAACTCTCGCGACGATGAAGGTTCATTGAGTGGATCTGATAGTATCAGTGGAGATCAGAGATATTTTGGAAAAGACCGTGTGTTCAGCGGACATGATGCTTTCAGCGGAGAGAGTGGATTTGACCATATCAGTAGAGATCGCAGATATTTCGGCAAAGAACATGAATCGAGCGGACATGATGATTTCAGCGGAGTAGGTGAAGACGATGTGAGTGGGGACCTTGAAGATTTGAGTAGAAATGGTAACGATTTGAGCAAGGATGGCGAGGATTTAATGGAATATGCCAAGGTGCCGAGTGAAGATGGTTCGGTTAAACATCATTTGAGTGATAGTGACAGTAGTGGATATGACATTGGGTTCAGTGGATACGCAGAAAATTCAGGTGGAAGTAAAAAAGACTGGAGTAAAAATAAAGTTAGCTCCACCGAAGACGGGAACGGACCATATAAGATAAATCATAGTCTAAAGCCTAAACTGCATCAAGGAGAAGACAAGAACGGGAACGTTGCAAGAAAAAAAATTGATCTCATCAAAGATTTGGAAGAACTTGGGTCAGATAAAGATAACAGTAGAGTGCTCGGTAAGCAAGCCTCGAAGAAAGTTCCAAAAGTTCCTCGTGTCCTGGCATCTGGTACAAAGAAGGACCAGAACACCAAAAAAGGAAGAGATGAAAGAATGAAATCAAAAAAGGTTCACTTTGATCTAAAAAGTTCTGGAAAAATAAAGAACCAGTCAAGTTCCAAAATATCAAGTAAATTTCAAAGGAGCTCATTGGATGGTAGGAATAAATCTAGAATCGATGCAAACATTGGTACAGGGAATGTTCAGACGACTTTCAAACACCGTCTCCCTAAAACTCGACCTACAAGCCCTCGACTGTCTCAAAATAAAGAAAGTTATCGGAACAGAATAGCCCAAAATGAAATGCTTGATGTTAAAGCAAGCACCGTCACAGTTAAGTTAAATCCAAACACAAAGAAAAGTTACGATAAGACAGAACTGTTAACGAGAAAGAAAGTGGGGAAAAAAAGAATTCGAGATGGGCACAGGCGTTCGAAGATAAAATCGGTCAAGAGGACAGTGAAACGCACCAAACCCAGTGAAAGAAATCCGTCTGGTCGACTCATGAAAACAAAAGCTAACGTTACAGACTTGGGTACGAGGCCGTTGCCCATTCATGGTGTACGGAATGTTACCAATAAGCACAAGTTAACCACAAAAAGGCTCAAGCTTAACAGAAACGCAGCAAACTCTCCCGCAACACAGATTATTCCTAAGGCAATGTCATCAGGAAAAGTTCGTAACGTTAAATCCAGTAGCCTTCGTAGCAAAGGAAAAGCTAAGGTCACTCGAACAGGAGACAATGCGACTTCACATAGACCATCGACCAGGGACAAGAGTGTAAAGGATCAAGAAAAACAGGTAAAACTTAATGGCAAATCCAAATCCAGTTCGGAAAAATTGATGGCAAAGGTTGGTCAAGTAATCAACCAAAAGAAGCGGAAATCTCTAGAGTTGGGGAGATTCCACGAGAGTGACCGGTTACAAAGCAAAGTTAAATCCTTGACAGATAACGACGAGAAGCCGACTACATTGGGAAATAAAACAGCGCGTCGTAAAATAACCAAAAGTATGATTGCAAATGTTAACTCCGCAATAGCGGACACTGGTGATCTTATGCAATATGCGCATCGCAAAGTGTCCGTTGGGCACAAAATAACGCAGAAAATTACACCCGGACGTAACGGCTCCAATGCGAAAGGTAAAATGCCACAGAAAACCGCTTCATCGACCAAAGCAATGGTTCGTAAGGACGGTCATAGCATGTACAAGACCAGTCCAAAGGACACACTGCAAAACAAACTTCTGAATGTTCATCGAAAACCTCGCGTCAAACATAAGAAACAAAATATTATGCATGGACGGAGGGCACCGATTTCGCATCCACCGGCCAAGACCTCGGAGAAAGGAGTCAATAAAAAGGAGTCAAAAGTTAGTACTCATCAAGATCTTATGTTGTCTTCTGGTGAAGGGAGCTTTTCTTCGAAAGAAAACCGTTCATTTGTATCCCGCATTACCTTTTCACCCCATCATTCCATGTATACTCTAAAAAAAAATTCGTCCTGGTTGTCTACAAAGCAACGCAGCAATAGCAATGCCTCTGACGTCAAGTCTACGTTCTTGGGTCATTTTGTGAACGATAGTGGTGGTATTAATGGTATCGATTTCTCAGTTAAATCCAGTGAAAAGCACCATAAACATAACAGTAAACACCGTTTAACCGTTGATCTGGACGACTTAGGAGACGCTGATTTTGATATAATGATGTCCAATGATATTCCTCACAAGGAAGTACCCAAAAAGTCGAAGGGAAAAAATCATAAACATTTAAGTAACAGCAACAAAATATATGATGATAGTAGAACAGAGAAGAAAAGGAAGCACAACTCCCATTTGAATAACGAGGATGACAACGCCAGAGGATCGTTCCACGAACACAAAGACCAAAGTGAGGCAACGAGCAAAAGTAAACTCCATCGACACCATCATCATTCCCACAAGGAAGGAAATAAAGATAGAAACGAGGAAGATGAAGAGAGAACCTCCAAAGACGAAGATGATCACAAAAATCTCGAGCGTAAATTGCGTCATCACCATAAGCACCATGATAATACCAATGCTGTAGAACAGAAAGACGACGAAGACGAGAATCACCAGCATAGTGCACACAAGGAACATGTGCATTATAAAAAGAAAGAAAACAACGAAGAAGGTGGTGAGGATAACAGGGAAGATAGGAAGCATATAGGGCACCACCATGCTGAGCAAGACGAAAGTGCTCGTTCAAATGATGATCGGAAGATGAAACATCATCGCCACCATAAGCATCAGGGTCACGATGATATACCAAAAATAAAATATGATGACAATCATTGGCAGGGGAAGGTTATTCCTGGGAGAGTTAAAATTACGTATGATAAAGACAAAACTAAGAAGCGACATCATCGCCATCACAAGCATAACATCCAAAACGATGATGACAACTTTGAAACAAGAGAAAATCACCATAAGAGGAAAAAATCCTTTAAAGCACACGAAATGGATAGCGATAGCGACGACAATACCAGTAACAGAAAACTTCTAAAACATTTTAAGGAAAATGCTAGAGTGAGAGAGAGTGATGACGATGATGAAACGGGGGAAAAGCGTACAAGTGACAGAGGTAACACTCATAAGAAACATGTCGCAGAAAAAGAGGAAAGTGCAGAAGAGAAAACGGACGTAAATTATGAAGAGGTGATAAAGAGTCGGCATAGGGCATCTCATGATGAAGACGATAACGATCATTCCGATGAATCTTCTGAAAGCCAGCGAGAAGGAAAAGGAGACAATGATGAGAGACAAGACAACGACAAAGTCAACGAGGAAGACAAAGGTGATGAAGATGACCATGGCGACTATCGTGAAAATAAGAAAAATAATCGAGTAGTTGTAGGCGATGATTCTGGAGGTGACGAAGAAGAAGAAGATAAACAAACAGAGGAAAGTCACGATGAAGACAGATACTGGATTAAGCACAACCACCATGAACAAGAAGGTGCTAGTAACAAGGAAGAGGATCATGAAAATAGAAATCATAAGGAATATCACAAACCTCATTTTCACCATGAACATTGGGAATCTGAACACAGGCACCATGAATCTCATTTGGAATCAAAGGCAAGGGATGATGATAGTAGTGATCATTTTGGCGGTGAGGTGCAGAATAACTTCAAACATCGAAGACGAAATTTCAGAAAATCCAAGATTTTTCACAGGGAGAGGAAGAAGGAATGGAGGCAACATCATGAAGCAGAAGACGGAAATGAAGAAACTGAAAATGATAACCAAGAAAGAAACTTTGAAAGCAGCCATAAAGAGCACCATTATCATTATAAACGCCCGGACTGGAAAAATGACAAGGAGGCAGAAGAGTATAAGGAACATGACGAGCAAAAAGAAACATATGAACGGGATCCTTTTAGGAATAACGAAGAAGATAATGTAAGAAATCACGAACATATCAATGAACAGATCCCAGACTATGAAAAAGAGCGCGAGGATTCAGAAGACTCTCGTTCTCGTGATAGAATGGAGGAACGCAGACCAAATGAAGAATCCGGAGAACACAAACACAAACACTATTATCACGAAAAGTTTCATCACTTTCCTCAAGATGATGGGGCTACATGGAAAAATGAAGGAGACTTTGAAGGGGGGAAATATGAAAAAGGAGATGTTCCACACAGACATGAACAAGTGTACAACCACCGGCTTCTGGATGAGAACGAGAAGCCTCAAGAGGATAATAGAGACCATGATGTGCACTATTTCCACGGTCCTAAACATAAACCGAGGCCCTGGGAGAAATGGCACCGGAAGAATCGCCACCACTCTTATGAGAAAGTCGACCCCGAATTTGAGGGTACTGGGGGCCCGTTTGATTCTTCGGCGTGGATGCGCGTTTACAGTTCTGATAATGATGATTACGATCAATATTATGGTGGTGAAGGTAATCAGGAATACCATGGACGTAAACATTCTAAGCACAAACATCGTAAACATAGGCAAAGCTATGAATATTTGGGTTACGGAAATCAAAACCCCTCATATTATGATTACAACTATCAAAATTCTAGAGCTCCGTTAGGATACTATAAGCCGAGGTCTGAATTTCGCTCTTACTATGAATGGCGTAAAGAGCATTACCGTGACTATGATAGGTGGAAACCGAAACCTTCTAGATGGTACCCAAATAATGAGCACTGGTATAGGAAATCATCTTGGGCACCTCTACAAGAGAAAAGACCCGCAGACGTTCAGTGGAAGAAATTTTACGAAAACAATGGCATTCTACCTATACCTACCCCTTACCCCGAGGATCCGTCAAACCGTGGGCGACCAACAAATCCACAATGGAAGCCACATGATCAAACACAGAACAGCTTTGGGGAAAATAACTGGTCCTCAGACCATTATCCCGGTCAAGGAGACAGAGGAAGTGAGGATCAAAACCAAGAACAATACAATGACTGGAGTAAAAATGGACTCCCTCTTCCTTTAAAACAGGGTGGTTACAGGCCACAGCAAAACCCAGCCGTACCTGAGTCGCAGCCATGGAGAAATATCAATACTTCCAAACATGGTGACGGACAACAATCAACAGGAGTTCAGTCGCAATATGTTCCTCCTGCTCCACAAAACTATAATGGAATCGTTAATCGGACAAAGTTTCGCCCAACGATCCGCCGGCAAAATCCAGCTGGTTCATCACCACAATTATCAGGCCCAACGAGTATTAACCAGATCAAAAACATTATGGATAAGTTGAACACTCCACCTTCGACTGCCAATGTCCAACAAACCAAAGCTGCTCCCCCAGTCAAACAAGGTAGACTGCGCAATGCGACTATCAACAAAGATGGAGTTCCTAAGACCAACTTGACCACCACAGACCAATGGAAAGATAGAAACCGTCTGAATGGATTTTTCAAGGAAGAAAACAATGGAAAGAAAAAGTCGGAGATCTTGCGTCCTGCGAATAGGAGCGAGGATCAACAAGCTGAAAACAATTCAAGTTCTAGAGGTAGAGTATTATTTTTGTTTTTCTTCCACTTAGATCTATCCTTGAAGATGACTGCTACAGTCAATTTTCCATCAATTCCTTTCCGTCTCACCCATTCATCTTCCTATTCAACTAAATGTCATTGTCATGTCCTTGTGCCAAAGCTCATCTTGGCCGAAACAACGCTATACTAGTTCAGTTGAAAATACTGAACGCTATACTAGTTGAAATTTTCACTTACGGTACATTAAGAAATGTTCATCCTCCCTTATTACAGGAAACGCATCACAGCATGCCCATCTAACGCCACAGACGACCAATTTACCTCCTAAACCTCCTTCCAACCAAGTCAAAAATAAAACGACAGAAGGTCATACCAATCCACCACATGCAGCAGGAAATCAAACTAACAAGCCTACTGCGCCCATACGAAAGAGCTCCCCGACAACTGCCAAGTCCACCTCTCAGACAACCACTGAAAACACTCCGGCAGCACCAAACTTTGGAGATGTCTCTCAATCCGATGATTCATCAGGTAGATATTAAGAGGTTACGATGGTACTAGAGTCAGTATCTCCTAGAAACTCCTTACCTCTGATAAATGGGACTACACGTGAATGGAAGACGAGAGAAGAATGTGAGAAGCACATTAGATCTCACTAAGCCCTATTTTTGATTTTTTGCTTTTTACTTTGTACACATATTATGTTTCGTTACAGAGACATATAAAGGAAAGTGATAAAACTAAAATACTCTTGTCTCAGGAGAGGGTTCGGAGAATGAAATATTATTTACAACGTCCAAAAACCCAAAGAGAGCTTTGCAAAGAGTACATCGTTTAAGGTCAGAAGAATTAACCTGGCTTAAAGAGAGATATTTTCTCGTTTGTGTACCCTCGTGGGACAAAGAAAATCTCAGACAATTCACTATCGGGGAACCGAACCTCAGACTTTTGGATTCCGCGCTGCTCAACAACTGAGCAGCAGTGAACTATGTTGTGAGTTAACGAGCCACAACTAGATTTAAATGTAACGTACTTCCTGCATGCGCGTTGCTGGGGATCAGCAAATTTCCTACCTGATTTGTTATATGTTTGTCCAACAGAGACGGGAAAGAAACATCGGAAACACCGGGCTCCTATCTGCATGGCGGGTAAAACAACAGACGACGTCACTTTACTGCGTGGTAAAAAGGCGGGAAATTTTACTAACATTGGCGACGTGGGTGACTTTGAGATGTGTATCAAGCGGTGCTGTCAGACGAAGACATGTGACTTGGCTTTTAAGTCTGCAGAGACTTGTTTCCTGGTCGACTGCCTCAATAAAGAGTCGTGCAAGACTACTGAGTCCCTGGATGACATATTCAGCCCTCGGATGTGTTTTGTGAAAAGGCATTTGAGTGACGACGAAAAAGGTAACCAAGTGTCCATGACATTTTGTCATGAAATTCTTTTTTTTTACTTGCGTGGTGTTTATACTACTTGCTGATTTGAAGTCAAGTACGCTCATGACCGCCTAACGTTATTAGTAAATTATTCCTCTTTAAGACGATCAAGGACAAGACGGGGAAGATGAATGGGACGACAAGGTCTCTCCTTCAGGTAATTTAATCATGTGTTCTTTTTCAATCTTGTCAAGAGCTGGGAGAAAGAGTTTGTTACTTGCTACAGTAATGTCTCATCGTTTCACATCTTTATTCCACAAACGATTTTTTTGTCGTCGCATTTGTATAATAGGTAGGTAAGTAAAGTCTGTTTACGAGCCTAGTGGCCCATTAGGCCGGTGCTTAACTCCGGTTTCTGTAGCACGAAGCGACTAGGAGTATTTCTGCTCCCCCCTGGATGGGATGCCAGTCCATCGCAGGGTTATCCCCAGCATTAAATTGCCGGTACCCATTTATACACCTGGGTGAAGAGAGGCACTGTGAGAGTAAAGTGTCTTGCCTAAGAACACAACACAATGTCCCGGCCAGGGCTCGAACCCGGACCACTCGATCCGGAGTCGAGCATACTATCCTTGAGGCCGACGCGCCTCCACAGTAATGTCTCATCGTTTCAAATCTTTATTCCACAAACGATTTTTTGTAGTCGCATTTGTATAATAGGAATTGTTGTTTTTGTATGACAAGAAGCTTGTTGTTAGCTTCACCACCATTTTGCTTCTCGCTGGTCAGAGTTTAAGTTAAGTTTAAGTTTAAGTTTAGTTTAATTCATTCGCTAGAGGAATGGCAGGAGAAAGGAATAGAACTTTCGTTCCAATTGACACCTAACCCCTTTTTTACCCGCCCATCCCACCCGTGGGAGGACATCCATCACACAGTAATCTCGTGTGTGGGAAATTAACGTCTCCTACCCCAACCCTGCAGGAGACGGGACCTCCATTTATCGTCCCTATCCGAGAAGACTAGAAAGTCTAACCATTTGCAGATATTATTACAAAGGCAGCACTTTCTTCTCAGTTAATTAAAGACCCTGAGTGTTGGTCCGGCCGGATTTGAACTCATGACCTCCCGCACAACAGTCCGGCGCTCTACCAATTGAGCTAACCGGCAGGCAGAAAGCTTATTTATTCACCATCAAATAGAAGTTTCCCGCTGTTCTTATTTTTAGGAATTCGAGAAGTTTGTAATGTGGAAAAGGCTCTTGGAATTTTCTGGAAGAAAACGATCGCGGGGCGTTTCTCTGCGCATCCGTGCCCACGCGGCGCCAAAGGTAAGCAAGACTGCAGAACGGAATTTTGAAAAGACAAACTAAGGCACTGATCTGTTTTACCTTGTCAGTTTATTGTAAGTTAGAGCGCCTCACAATCCTGACTAGGTTACGCTATTAATTGATTGATGTAGAATGGATTGACCGTAGAAATGTCGCAATGATATCTCAAACCATAGCGGTTGATTTCGGGAAACGATCCTGTCGTTGACTCTTTTAAACCTTTTAGGTTTCGTAAGGCGCCGTTGCGAAGCTGATTCAAGATGGCTGCCGCCTGACTTCAGTGATTGTGTGTCTAATGACTATCAGGATCTCTACGACAAGGTAAACGATCTTATGAGACATAGGTTGGGATACTTTGATCAGGTACAAACGAAGTCTTTTCTTAACAATTTAGACAACGAGAGGTGAAAAATACTGTTGAAGACACGTTGATCTTATGATTAGCATGTTGAACTCCAGAGCGAAGGCTCTGGGTTTGACTCCAAACCAGTCCTCCCCCACTAGGGGGTACAGAGTACCGCCTGCATGATTTATTTCCTTGGTGAAGTCCTTTCTTGTAATGAATTACGGACTGCAATTACAAGTCTTCTTCGGGCGATGAGGTTGACTGGATACGAATCACCCCCTAAACTGAATCTAGTCGAGCTTATCGTTTAATTAAAGATTGCAGCCACTCTTACTGAAAAATCCTCATTAAAGCCTTCGAATTTTTTACAGTCTAGAAAGCTTGCCGTTGGAGCCGATCCAAGTCCTCTTATCCGGGAACTCTCACAGTTGACAACTCAGAACATCGATAACTCCTTGATATTTGGAGGAGACCTGACCCGAGCTACAGATATTATGGCCGCTATAGTACAGCATAACGGACAAACTGAATTCTTAGAGATGACCAGAGAGGATGTAGAGGTATATTCGCAATTCTTAAACGTTCCTCAGTAGTGTTTATTATGTTGACAAAGTGTCAAATGCATCCCGATTGGGTGTTTTCCTTAAACCAAAGCTTAGTTAAGCTCAATGGCCTATTAAAACAATGAAACATACCATGAGCAGCAAATGGGAATTCTTAGTAACAATCAAGTAAACTGCCTGAAGCGCGGGGAGACACGTGAGAACGCGTGGCGATTGGTGTTAGTTTTGTATCCAATTGGTTGAAATAGTGATGCGACGAGATCTAGACACAGCGTTTAAACACGAAGGCGCGCTATATAAGGAAGTCTTCCCTGGAAAGACCTGGGCTCATTTGTCACTCACGGTTGACGTGTGCGGGTCAAATTTAAATGCTGGTAGACGAACAAAAGGAGCTAATGAGATATCTATTGTTTACTTCCACCAGCATGGTAGCAATGAGGTAACGTGCGAACCACTTACTTCGATCTCAAATTTACCGCCACAAATAATGACAGTTTCCATTGGAGAAAGGAAATACAAATCTCAAAAATTCTTGTATTGTGATGAAGACATAAAACAATTTTGAGGAATGCGCCCGCTTTTCACTGCTTTGGAGTAGCTGTAGCTCAAGCTGTCTTGACTCTAAGAGTTCTACATCACACGACGGTTGATTGACAAATGGTCCAGTGGGACCTAAGGCTCCTTTTATAGCGCGCCTTCGTGTTCAAAATAGGATAAAGCAAACCCATACAATGATTGTTAAAAAAACACTTTGGAGAGGTAATACCTGGTACAACTCTATGATAAAATGCGTTGTCCTTAAATTCTTTGAAGGACAGAGGGAGGAAGAGGTCTGAACTTGGCGTCGATGTTTTTTTAAAGCGCAGAAATTCGAAAAAAGAGAAAAAGAATCAAGACTGAAAGATACAGATCTTTGTAGACTTTTCCGTTACCTCATCTATTTTATATTTGTATTTAGATTTCAATTTATAATTAAAAGTTTGTTGTTTCTTTTTTCATTATTATTGAAAATCATTTTGTCAACACTCCTGATCAGAATTTTGTGAGAGCCAGCAGTAATCTCCTGGATATGACAAATCAACAGGAATGGTTCAATATCCAAAAGGTATGACAGAGGAATGTTTTAAGGAACACTCATTTTTATCGCCAGGGAAGAAGGGAGAATTTACGAAGCCTTGAGGGGGCATCAGGTAAATTGTCTCGTGACACAGCCAAAATCTTTAAAGTAGGTAGCACGGAAAGCCGGAAAACTCTTGAACAAAATCTTTAAAGTTTCCCCCGGCGATAAAAAATGGACGGTGCATTATGAAGATTGAAAATCTCACTCAAAAAGCCCCTACCACGCTAACGAGTCTTTCTTTTTGTCAAAGACAAACATATTGATGCATATTTGCCTTCAGCTTAAGCAAACGGGTAACTATAGTTGTTCTCAATGAGAACTTTAGCTAACTCACTAAACGATGAGTTTGAAGTTTCAATGATCAAGTTGGAAAATATGATTTTACGCCTCGTTGTTCAAAAGTACTTCAAGCTATCAAAATTAGATTCGAGTACCTCAATTTTTTATTATTGGAGGGGTTACTTTTGTATGTTTTTCAGCTAGAATTCTTCGCAATTTTTGAAATATTTGCTTATCTGCATCGTTATAGAATAAACCAGGGTCAGCGGATGTTCTGCGAGCCATGGAAATGTTTGCACTTCAAGCGGCCAGACGACTTTCCCGGGAAGATATGGCGGAACCGACAATCACTAACAATATAGGTGAGTCAGTTAAACTTAAAGAGTCCCAGATTGTTTCTCAGAATTTCCCCTAATTTCTCAGTTTATCACGAAGCAAAGAATTACATTTCCTTCGCTTGATGCATCGCTAACAGGAATGGGATACCCACTACTCAACGATTTCCAAGCAGAAAATAATTTTATCTGTGGGTGTGAACGCCAGCTCAATAACAATACACGATACTTCCATCTGTCTGTCCGTATCGACAGTATACCTGTCCGTTTGTTTATCTTGTGTTGCAACGCTGGTTTCAACTCTTTAAATCCCAAAAGTGATTAACTTGAAGCCTCTCCATGTAATAACCATACATTATTCAGAAAACAGGTAATGATCAGGTGAAAATTATCTTTACCCAACATCAAATTCTCGTAACTCATTTACAAGAAAATGTGTTGCAGCTAGAGGGAGGACTTACATCTTGAAATTTAGTGGGTTAACGAGCTCTTTCTTTGTTTCTAGTTATCAAGATGGACAGAAAGTCCGCAGGGGATGATGGTCTGACTTTCCCAGACTTTGCTAATCCAAGAATAAATCGCTGGGATGCCAGACATGACGTCATTGCTCTTCCTTCATCTGTATTTGCTCAAAGTAAGCCCAGAAACATTTCAACGTATCAAATATCTACAATCTTTTCCTTTGAGCCCTTTTTTCTCAAAGGCTATTAACAAATAGATTCCATGTTGCTGTGCGTCTGATCGGCAATAGATCAGAGATGACGTAAAAACGTGGTAGGAAAAAAAAGTAGCACACCAGGCGCAGCCGAGTGTGTCACTGAGTACTGTGACACTGAGTACTGTGTCACAGAGTACTGTGTCACTGAGTACTGTGTCACTGAGTACTGTGTCACAGAGTACTGTTTCACTGAGTACTGTGTCACAGAGTACTGTGTCACAGAGTACTGTGTCACAGAGTACTGTTTCACTGAGTACTGTGTCACTTAGTACTGTGTCACAGAGTACTGTGTCCCAGAGTACTGTGTCACTGAGTACTTTGTTACTGAGTACCGTGTCACAGAGTACCGTGTCACAGAGTACTGTGTCACAGAGTACTGTGTCACTGAGTACTGTCACACTGAGTACTTTGTCACAGAGTACTGTGTCACAGAGTACTGTGTCACAGAGTACTGTGTCACAGAGTATTGTGTCACTGAGTACTGTGTCACAGAGTACTGTGTCACAGAGTACTGTGTCACAGAGTATTGTGTCACTGAGTACTGTGTCACAGAGTACTGTGTCACAGAGTACTGTGTCACAGAGTACTGTGTCACAGAGTACTGTGTCAGAGTACTGTGTCACTGAGTACTGGGTAACTGAGTACTGTTACTGTGTTACAGGATTAATAAGCCAAATGTTTTCGATGGCGACATTTATTGGGTCTGTCCTCCAATAAATCATAGGCAAGAACCAATCAAAATACGTGCTGGATTCCGTTTATTATATAACACTAAAAAGAAAATATTCACGTTAATTTTTCAGCTACAAAAGACGTGAGTGTCGCTACAATCAGTTTTAAAAGTTTGCCGTACTTGCTTCCCGATTCTAACGTCAGGTAAGAAATTTTATCAAATGGATCAATATGTATTTCATAAGTTGCAACACAACTCAAAAGCCATTCTAGTTTCGCGCGAACAATTCACTTCTTTCTTTCCACAGTACTGGTCTTGGTCCAAATTCCAAAGTGATGTCAACGGTACTGCACCCCCACCCCCAGGGGAAGATTAACCCACCCGTTACTATAGTGCTCAGCCACATCAAGGTAAGATCAGTAGGTTTATACAATCTTAACCCTTTCACGCTAAAGATCATTTTAGTAATTCTCCTAACTGTTTGCCATACGATTCTTATAATATGAGTTTAAAAGATTTCCATTAATTTCTTCATTTCCATCACTTGTGTACTTGATATTGTTTGATATTGTAACGAGAAACTCTGTCTTGGTTAAAAGTGTAAGTGCATAGACACAAGGAGCAAAATCTGAACAATCTCACATCTCGTTTATTTTGACAGCGGAAGCGTGGAAATCCTAAATGTGTATTTTGGGATTATGCACTAAGGTATGTTTGTGACAAACACTCACCCCTTTGGAACCTATGTATCTAAAAACGTTAAACTTAAAAAAAAAAACAGCCGGGGCTTATCTCAGGTAGAGTGGCAGGAAGTGGTTGTCCATTATTGATTACCTCCGGTGTCTCTTAATGACAATTTGCGTGCACCCTTTTATAACCCTGAACATAACTATGCCCTGAATGCAGATAGGCACTGAGGCCAAGAAAACGGAGACGTGGTCCAGGTTCGAACCCACTCTTCTCGATCGTGAGCGCATGTTAAAACTAAACCACCGAATCTTCCACCTTTAAACACTACAAATGGAGGAGAACATCATTCCATCGATAATGGGAGACGAATATTTTATATTTGCTAACTTTTCTATTAGATCAAAGGAAGTGACTCATTTTTTTCTTAACCAGTCCCCACAGAGGCGGAGCGTGGTCATCACGTGGCTGCTGGCTAGCATACAATAACCACACCCACTCAATCTGTCAATGTAGTCATCTTTCAAACTTTGCCGTCTTGATGGATCTCTCATCGGACGAGGTGAGTGTCACGTTATCGTTATGTTATGGTCTGTGGACGGTTTACGAGGCAGCGATTGTACATAATAGAGTTGTCTTGCTCTAAGGTCAGCTTCGATTGACGCAACATAAAAAGAGACTATCCTTGCCTTTTCTTACAATTTCAGGTTTCGCAAAAGGAACAGAAGAGGGAGAGGACAATGGCTTTGATGTGGATTGGTATTCCTGTACTCATCGTGGGAGTAATTGGTGGCCTGTACATGTCTTTTAGCTGGTAAGATTTCCTTCTAACCCTGGACAATCGATACTCCTACTTTAATCACCCTTTGCACCTTAACATCAGTATCCATATTTCCCGCACTGTTCTTTTTACATTTCCTGTGGCACTTACAAGAACAATTTATTTGTCAATCAAGAGCTTTGTAAATTGCCGATCATTTCCCTGAATCTTCTAACCTTAACATTTTATTAAAGGGTGTTGCTGTGGGCAGAAATTAGTAGCCAGTCACTCTTAGAGATAAAGGTTAAGTGTTTTCTTTAATAATAACGATTTTTTTTTCAAGATTTCTTTCTTTCTCCCTCTCTCTTCTCAATGAACCATAGGAATCGAAAAACAGGAATGCCCAGCACCGTAACGAGGCCTTCCGGAGCACGTGAGTTGATAACTTTCTTCGTAATTATGTTCATAGTAATCTTAATCAAATTGATTGTTAGCTAAAAAAAGTAAGTCATTTTAAACTTTTAAGCGATATGAGTAACCATTTGTTTTATTTTGTCGTAATCACTCACAACAGAAGGTTTTGTAAAAATAGCGACCTTATTTCAAAATATAACATATGAAAAAATGCCTCCTATGGTTCTAAAGTACATGGCCGTAATAATAAGTAATAATAATAATTATAATAGTAATAATAAATAATAATAATAATAATAGTAATAATAAGTAATAATAATAAAAATAGTAATAATAGTATTAATAATAAGTAATGACAATTTAAAGTAGAAGCAATGTTTTCAAACATAGGTGCGTGGGACTGAACTGGTCACAAGATACATGTCCTAAATGTTATTCATTTTCAAAACTTAAAAATTTGTAATTTAAAATGGCACATGATGATGTAGACCTGTAATTTTAACAAATGTGGGGATGCGAACAACGCTGCTGATATTGATTTCTTGTGTAGCTTAACATGAGCTAGTTTTCATTTCTGCCGCCATTTTGAAGAAGGTTCTTTTAAAACCATGCCCTTGTTATTTAACCATTTACTCTTTTTATTCAATATTTCAGTGAACGAAAAAACTGGTTTGCTTGGACAGAGAGTGGTAACAAGTCAAGTGCGCGAAGAATTCCCGCCATCACCAACACGTGACCTTTATCGCGCTCTGTCTCCTGGGTACTCGCCGACTGGTGATCTTGAATGGCAAGACGAGTTCGATTTTGAGGTGGAGCCTGGTGACCAGGGATTCAAACAGATGCTTTTGCCCAAGTTCCAGATGTTACAAAATCATCTGATCAATGAATTCTATGATAGCGAGAAGATGGAGACGAAAACGAAAAAACTCTTGGACACCAAGGTAAGTTGTTATTGTATTGACACCTTATAAACGAAGCACAAAACGATATCTTACAAATAGTCTCTCGAATACTTGTGCAGATCCAACAAAAGCCCCAGATCACAACCATCAGTCCAGTACAACCGCCTTCAGATCAGTCAAATCACAGTCAAAAGACGAAGTCCCAGAGCACGGTAATTGACCTTGCACAATCCGAAAGGACACTCACAAGACAGATAGTAAGCACACTTCTTTTTGTCCTCTTGCACGCTTGCGTCTCTATCAACCTCTTTTTGTCCTCTTGCACGCTTGCGTCTCTATCAACCTCTTTTTGTCCTCTTGCACGCTTGCGTCTCTATCAACCTCTTTTTGTCCTCTTGCACGCTTGCGTCTCTATCAACCTCTTTTTGTCCTCTTGCACGCTTGCGTCTCTATCAACCTCTTTTTGTCCTCTTGCACGCTTGCGTCTCTATCAACCTCTTTTTGTCCTCTTGCACGCTTGCGTCTCTATCAACCTCTTTTTGTCCTCTTGCACGCTTGCGTCTCTATCAACCTCTTTTTGTCCTCTTGCACGCCTGCGTCTCCATCGACTTCTGTCTATTGCAGTTCCTGTATCTTTCCAAGTAGCATTTCACTTTTCCGAGGGTACATTCTTTCTCTGTTTGAGAATGCAACACAGTGGTAAAACGTCTGCGCATATGCGAACGTCACAGTGACTAGGTGGCATGCCTTTAAGCTGCTTTCACGCAGTCAGAACCAATTTTTCTCATGTGAGTTACAGACGACCTCAAAAGTTAACGAGTCAATGTGTTTTCAAACCCTATAACTTTTTTGATAGAAGGGTTAGACTTGCTATCCGTAAAACAGTGCTCGATACATATAGTAGAGCGAGTATAACGTGTGATTAGCAGAAAAAATCAACTACAATTGATTTTATATACTATACTAATTAACATAATTGATTTGGTGCGAAAAGTGTTAAGTCAGCTGTTGCGTAGGAGGGCTTTTGTTTCTGTGTCGGGTCGGCAGGAAGAGACGAGTTCGTTACGCTTGTTGAATGTAGATATGTCGGGTCGGCAGATGATCAGGAATTTCTCTTTAAGGCATAGGTTGCATCGTTTGCTTGAGCTGTTGTAGAGCAGATGTGAAGATAGAATGCGCCAGGTGATGAAATAGCCGATGTGTTTACTGAGTTCGGTAGAGTTGCGGTGCTTTGCGTGTCGGAACAATGAGGTGTGGTTGCTGTAGCGCGTCTTGTAGTCGTTTGCAGTGAGTCCGATGTATGAATCCGTCAAGTTGTTTTCTTTGCGTGTAACGGTAGCTTGGTAGATAAAAGATTGTTGGAGGCAGTTTCCGTCTAGTGGGCATGAGTTTTTCTGTCGACAGTTGCATTTCTTGTTATTGTTAGCGGTAGTGTCGGTGGTTGTGGCGGCAGTATTAGTCTTTACGTGGGAAGTCAAGATTCTTTTGTTGTGGTTGTCAATGATTTGTTTTGTGTTGTTCATGCAGCTGTAACTGATCTTGATTGTGTTTCTGTTGAAGATTTTGCGAAGCTTGTGGTCTTTAGGAAGTGTTTGTCGATCGGAGCGAGGAATTTATGCCCGATGTTAGTGCTGGTGTTCTTGCTGAAAGGTGGTTGTACCAGAGGATGTTGTTGCATTGACGGTTCTTGCGCCTTTGAGTGTGTTCTGGTTCAAAGTGAGGTGTGTAGCTGTATCCACTGTCGTCTAGTGCTTTCTGGTAGGCGGGAGCGGCTTGGTCGAAGCAGGCTTTATCGGATGAGAGAGATGATAAGCGTATGTTGATACCGGCGGGGATGTTCTTTGTGGTGATCGGTGGGTGATTTCTCTCGTGGTGGACGTATTGCAGTGCAGTGTTAGGCTTTGTGTATGGTTGGTAGGTGTTTTTGCTGAGGTTAAATGTGACGTCTAGGAAGTTGATTCCTTGTTTGTTAGCTTCTATGGTGATGCGGAGTCCGTTGGCGTTAAAGATGCGGCATATCTCTTTCTTGACGTTTTCAGTGTCCTTGGGTGTGACGTCAGTGGTGACAAGTCCGTCATCTCGGTATAGTCCAACATTTATGTTAAGATTCTGTAGCTGGGAGAGGAGGAAGTTTCCGACAAGTTCACAGGTTTCAGCTCCGTCGTAGCTGCCCATAGTTACGTCAAATGTAGTGTCACCTTTTTGCCGCGGTTGCTGTTTGTGGGTTAAAATCGAGCTTTTAGCATGAATTATAATGTTCCTTTCGTCGGCGGTAGTGCTGTCAAAGTTGGATGCGAAGTCTAGTGCTTTGTTCAGGAGAGCTAGGCTGATAGATGGGTAGAATTCTTCTATATCGAAACAGATGAGGGTGGAGTTGTGATTGTTGCTTGTAGATCGAAACCAGTTGATGACGGCTGAGGTGTTTTTCCATTGGTTGAGGTTGCTCGATTTTGAACCACAAACAGCAACCCTGGCAAGAAAAGCTCAAGCAAATGATGCAACCCATGCCTTCAAGAGAAATTCCTGATCATTTGCCGACCCAACCTATCTACACTCAACAAGCGTAACGAACTCGTCTCTTCCTTCCGACACAGAAACATTCGGGAGAGCTCAGTGGTTTGAATCCCGTACAGGCCTGATTTTTTTCAGGTCTGATTTTCGCTATTGCATAAATAGCGCTATCCACTGCGAAGGATCGTGCATCATGCGCAAATCAATTATGTTAATGTAATAGTATATAAGCAATGGTACAGTAACTGCGTTATTCTGTCATTAAAATCCCCTGACGAGTGCGCAACCACGAAACAGGTCTGTAGGGATGAATTGTAGTTGATTTTTTCTGCCTATCACACGTTAACTTTTTTGATATACATGTAACTAAATAAGCTTCGTGTTCGAAAGTCTCGAGTTTTCCTTTTCGCTACTTTTGTTTTCTTTTTACGAACGATTCAATGTTCTCGCCCTTTCTTTGTGTGGCAGCACTTCTTGTGTTTTACTTTGAAATTTTGCGCGTGAAATTGGCGAGCGATCGGCCAGATTTGAACCACCTTCGCATGCACGACGGTTGACTACTGTATGCACCAATGCACCAGTGAAGCTGACAGTTACTGTGCCACTGTGCTGTTGTTTTCATTTAGATTGAACCGAAGTCTCACTTTACGACCGACTGCGTAATGAGGTCACAGACTTTTAAGACAACACGTAGACAACCGGTAAGACGTTTTGCAATTTAATTCAGATCTCGCGGGTTGGGAACTTATAAACCTATAACTATCCACTTATAAAAGAATTGTCGTTCCTGATTGGTCAATGCCTTAAAAGATTATGATGGCGAAGGGGATTTCTGTGTCCCACTTTTTCGAAAGTGAAGCTTAAGCATCGTGGTCATTTAAAAGAAAATGAGAAAATCTTCAAGTTCGGTTTGTCTGCTGCTTGTCATCAGAATTAAAGAAGCATGTTCCTGAGCGCTTAAAACTAGTGTGTCAAGTAATGGGCAACGACGTCGTACAAATTGGCGTGAATTTTGTTTAAAATAAAATGCACAAATAACCGTGTGAACTTCTTTTGATTTCATGTTTCATGCCCTGATGTTTTGAAATGTTTGAAAATTGCACTCGTCCAGTTCCGAAAACTTTCAAAAGATCACTGGTGCCGATAAATTTTGCTTGAATTCATGCAATTTCCAATACTTATTCACAAATGCTTTTACATTTCGTATTTATGGTTTTAAGATAATTAGGTGTCACAGTACGGCTTTAACCGTTGGGAAAAATCTTAAATGAAGAAATGATTCAATCAACCAATTAATCGATGAATGTAATTGATATTTATCTATAAGACCAGTGTAATCTAATCTAAGTGTAACTTCATTTATTATCTCACCACTTTATCATATTTCAGTTTTTACACCGCGACAAGATCTAAATGATCATGATTTTTTATTTGTTTAAGAAGTATCCTGTTAGAAAACTTCGAGTGAGATTTGCGGATGAAAGTCCACCAAGACGAAATCTCACTGATGAAGATAAGGAGCGTTTTAAAAGGCTTCAAAAAATGGAAAGAAGGTAGGTTTCACAGATTCGCGACGTAGATGTTAAAATATTTTGGCACTGAGCAATATTTTGAAATTTGAACACAATGAAGCAGAAATTAAGTCGGCCAGGTGTTAATTTAATTTAGTGTGTTTTCCTTTGGCTCGTGCACAGATCTTATGTAGTTTTTACGAAGAAGTAGTCTAGGTAATTTAAACGCTGATAAAAACAGCAATATTGATATGGGCGCTATATTATTTTTTATTATTATTATCACTATTATTATTATCATCATCATCATTATTATTATTATTATTATCATTATTATTATCATCATCATTTTTATTATTATTATTATTATTATTATTATTATTGTCATCATTATTATTATTACACCGTAGTGTATTTAGAGACCAGTCATTATTTGTCTCAGGGGTTGGGGTCCGGAGGTTTTTCGGGGGGAGGGAGGCCCTCGCATGGTTTTCAGGAGGGAACGGAGTGGGAATCAGCCGTCGCTGACAGAATTTTAAGGGGGACTAAAGAAAGTTGACTGCCAATCAGGAAGGATCATAAGAATACGCAAAGCGTCATAGGTAATCAGATGAATTTTATTGTGACACAACCAAAATCCTCCTACCCCACCCCCCACCCCCCAACCCCGGCGATAATAATGACCGTTACTGAAAGACATGAAAAAGACTATCGGGACTACCACGCTTTACCGACGTGTTAGCCTTATCGTACAGATATATGAATCTGGTTGCTAAGTAATGAGTGATTTAGATGTAACATGAAATCAGTATCTGAAAAGGGGGCGTAGGTTGCTTTAGCTACAAAGGACAGAAGAAGAAGAAGAAGAAGAAGAAGAAGAAGAAGAAGAAGAAGAAGAACCTTTATGAATTTATACCGCTCAGGGTCGCCCCTTCAGACGCAAAAAGCTGTCTGTTATCAATGGGAGCCCTGAGCAACAACGCACAAAAACAACACTAAACATATAAACATTACACTAACAGACATCCTTTTTAATAGGTGCGCCTCGTGTACCACTTTTTTGTCCTTATGACGTGTTGATGTCGTACGTGATCTATTCTTGAACAGACACATGGCAACATGGAATTTATTTGTTAAAAATGATATGCATGGGATGAGTAGGTGTTGGCATGAGACCATCAGTAAATTCTTTCCCTCCATTTTTTTCTTTTCAGAGTCTTCGCTCAGCATCTCAGTAGATGGACAGCCAGTAGCCATCTCAATTTGTCAGAGTAGATATTTTTTTTTAAATAATATGTTTGTGAATACATTTATAAGTCACATACTTAGCAAACATTTACAAGACGTTATTTTATAACCCGCTCACTCATTCACAAATTCTTAAGAACTTTCCAATACAGGATAAATTTTCAAGTTGAATATTGTCATGTTGATTTCAAAAGTCATTTGAAACGAGGAATTTTTGTGTCCCGGGGAAAGTGCCGGGATTTCGATAAAATTCTTTCTCCGGCATTCTACTGCCAGCTATTCAGGACCTTTTACCGCCCTCTGTTGAGCCCGCGAACAGGCTCTCGTTTTTGGGTTTCCGGCCTTGCGGTACAGCCTGCTATAACACCATCCGCAGCCGCTCATGGAAAACGTAATTGAACCCCATCTAAGCAGCGAAGCAAAAGACCTTTGGCCTCATTTTCAAGGTGAAACCTGGTGCCCATCCTTTCATATGATGATATGTTTTCATTCGCATGCAAATTAGACTCATTTTCCAAGGAATGGCTGAGCACCAGGCCTCGTTTTGAGAAAGAAGCGAAAGGTAAATCGGAAATGGCCTATTCGTTGAAAAAACGTTGTCTACAGTCTAAAAGGTTGTAGGTTCCATGGGATTGGCTAGGTATACCAACATTACTGCTGTGTTAAAAAGCAATATTGCACCCATGATGTTATGAGAAAAGCTTGACGGTTCATTCGTCTGCTCGAGCGAAGCGCCTGACAAAATTTACGGCTTTTCAACAAGTTATTACTAAATTTGGTTTCCAGTGACGTCTAAAAGTAGGACCAACATGTTTTTTTTAAGATCCACACGGACACGAGGCGTAATCACAAGCAGAATTCACACTGCGGGCTCACACAACCCTTTACTCCCAAAATCTGACTATTAATTCTCCCCTCTGGCTGCAGAACATTTATTTGTGAATTAGTTACAAGAAGTTGGTATTCGATCAAGATAACAACTTCTACCTGATAAGTTTGAGTATTCTCATTACCTGTTTTCTGGATAATATATGGATATTATGGGGAGAAGTTACATGTTGATCACTTCTGTGAGTTTAAAGGGTTGATTCTTAAATTTATCAGCTCTTCTGCATTTTATATTCCAAAGACAACAACCCACGTGGTAACGGTATATGTAAATTGCGTTCTATACTTTTGATATATTTAAATGAATATGTAAAGTGTAAATAAAATGCAATTCCTTCCAGTCTCTTGGAAGACTTGTGTAAAGGAAGTAAATGTTTATTTTCCTAGAAATAACAGATAAATGTGGTTAATTTATAAATAGAAATATTTTTGTACATTCCATTTTTTTACAAATTTTGTTAGGCGTAAGGATGTTATTAAACATATAAAAATAGGTTCGAATTTTGGTTGTGTTATATGTAATTAACGTGGTCACGAAACGAGGTCTTTTGTGTAAAAGTGTCCCTTGAATAAAAGAGCTCCTCCAATAAGAGAGATAAATACAAAGATGAAATTGGTGAACTTCCATTCAAGGAGCATCCATGGGACTGGAAGTAGCGTCCTCTGAATTGAAGGCAACGGGTACAAAGGTTATAAAGTGGGACATCTGTTCAAGGGACATCCCTTAGACTAGAAAACGTTTCTGCCGAGTAGAAGAAAAACTTCAATGAAGATAACAGATACGTAGGGCACGCAGTGAGACCTTCATTCAGGGAACTCCTTTGGAAAGAAAAAGTGTCTCCTAAGGAAAAGAATAATTTCTATGAAAGTAAAAGATACAAAGATTATGCTGTGGGACCCCTATTCAGAGAACGTCCATAGGATTAAAAAGTGTGTCGTCTAAAAAGAGGTGTTCCTTCAGCGAGGGTAACAGATACAAAGATTATCGAACCCACGATGTTATGAGAGACGCTCTACAGTCATTTCTTCAGCTTAGACAAAAGTTTGTGTCCCTTCCTATGAGGTGTCCCGTGGACATATTTGTCGTGCAAGAGATTTCAATGCTTTTTGACGTTTCCAATAACAACAACAACAACAACAACAACAACAGCAAAATGGGTCTTTCATTGTTTTTTTTGTTTTTTTTTATTTTCATCATTTGTTCACACCAAGGGTGAGGGACGTGTGATAAAGAGATGCTTTAAGGGGCCGACCATTTACCTTTTGAGGGGGAGTGGGTGGGTGCATTGTGGTCATCAAGAACTTTTTTTCTAGCAATCTGCTGTGCAGGATATTTTTTTCCGATGTTCTGATACGTTTTTTCTGTTACATTTGGGCTGCATGCAATTTTTCTTCTTCCAACAAGCGCTTGCCGGAATTTTTTTTTCAAAATCACCCACCCCCCCCCCTTCAAAAGTTAAATGGTCGGCCCCTCAGCCGACCATTTAACTTTTGATTACTACTTTGTTTTACAATAGCATAGGGCTGAGCGGAGATTTTATTGTTTTGTCTTCCTCAAATGTCTTTCTGTGAGGGCATGGAGACCTACTTGTGAGTAAACATGAAGACATTATTTCAGTCCAACACGTCAGTGGAGCGAACGAAGAGGAATTGCAAGAGACAGGGCGAGATCTAGCTTAGGCGTGAGAATATTCTCAGGTGGGTAGAGTAAATGTTGTAATTACCAAGATCAATTAGCGATTTCTGGAATGTTTGAGAAATTTCGCATAATAAACCATACCATAATGAATCTTACTGTCAATTTGCAACAGTATTACGAAATGCATCAAGGTATTATCTGTGCAGTATGTAAATGTAGAGAGTTCTTGGGTTAATATTTATCTTCAAGTAGAGTGGCCGGACATTTACGCACAACAATGAGCAAAGGTGCGGTGGTGGATAAATTTTTGTCTTTCTGTATAAAGCAGTGGTTGTCATGAGAAGACAAAAAGACGCATTTTATTGTTTTTAAATCCAAGGGCAAGAAAAGTAAACTAAGTGTTAAAGTTTAGAAGAGCAGAAATGTAGAATGAATTACCTAAAGACCTGAAAGAATCAAAATCATATACACAATTTAAGAGATTAATGAAAATCTATCTGCAAAATCATAGTTAAATTCTATACGAGAGATATAACTTCAAATCGTAGTTTTATTAGCAAAGCAGCAAAATATCTTACGTTCATAATTAAACCATCTGCTATAAGTTACAGTTTTTATTAGATGGGGATCTTCTTATAAAAGCTCAGTAGAGCTTGCTAAGATCTCCAGCCACAACATTATAGCTTATTTTAGCAGGCTTATAATTAACAACTATCCACCGCTAACCACCGACACTGAGCTGAATAGTTGTTTTAGTATATACTAAAACAGCGATATAATATACACCACAAAAATTGATTTAAATGATTTCTTCGCTTGTCACGGATGCAAACCGGGACGCCATTTTTTCCCGAGTTGCTCGGAGGCAAATAGCAATGGATATTCGGAGTTTTACTGGCCAATCAGAGCGCGCCTTCAACGCTATCCACTGTTTTAGTGTATACTAATTAAAGCTATGTAAAAGTCTTGGGTGAACAATGGAGGGTGTCAATGGGGTTAACAGTCAGCAATAAATCCGCAAAACACTTGGCCGTTAGGCATGGGGCGACCTTAGGTCCAAGAAAGCCAAGCCGTCTATTGTGAATCAGCTCTGCGTTGTTCTTGACCATTTTTCATGTGATCTGTGTGATCCAGATTATGACAGTTACATGGCCCTACTCCTTTATCAATGCGTTGCTGAACACAAGAATTCGGCAATTGGCAAACCTCTCATTATAGTGCTCAATAGAAGCGATCTTAATGATAGCCTTTTTAAGATTTGAGGAAATGTCAAAGTAGGAAGCAGTTGTAAGGAAAGATTTCCGTATAACCAATCAAAAACAAAGTCGTAATCCCAGAGGAAATCTGTTGTTTTGCCTCTACTTCCTTTATCCAAGAATTGAAAGCATAATGAAGTAAGGGGTATACGGAAATCTTGCCCAGTTGTAATCTCCGCATATAATTGCCGGGTATATTTGGGCACATTTAAAGAGCTTCAGAAGTAACAATTACATTCAGACAAAATCGATTTTTTTTTTTGCTGGTGACAACCAGGCTGACTTTAATTTGAGCTGGATATTTTGAGTAAATATTGGCATCGTGATTCTTCCTATTTATTCACTTTTTACAGCAATAGCCGAATGTATCTTCGATAATTTAACAAGCTCGGAAGCTTTTCACTTCAGTCCAAAATTAAGTTAAGTGAGTTCTACATCCCCGCTGACTTAAAAGTCCTTGCGCATAGTTGTTTTGAAAATTAAAGGAAATGGAACTCTTCCCAGAAGATAATTTGGATATATCAACAAAGTTGAAATGGTAAATTGGCCACCGTAACGATTACAAAAGCTGACGTTTCGAGCGTTAGCCCTTCGTCATTAGCCCTTTCGCTCCGACGAAGGGTTACCGCTCGAAACGTCAGCTTTTGTAATCGTTACGGTGGCCAATTTACCATTTCAACTTTGTTGATATATCCAAATTGTTTCGTTACCCCCACCGACGCAGCCCCAAACAATTTCTTTAGAAACTATCAGCCTTTCTTCCTCGAAGAACTCTGCTAGATTTATTTCATGGTGTACCTTATGATGACGTCTGAGTAAGAGGCTGAAGCCCAAAATTTTGTGGATAACTGAAGTTAATTTTTACCAATACACTGTCATCAGAAAAAAATTTTAATGGCGAGAGCGTCTCCGGCTTTGATACTATTTTTGATGTAGTTTCTCGTCGAGATTTTCAGTATTTAAAATCTCAGTTATTTTCAATATTCCTGGACAAAAAGGGTTAAAAAAAACATGAAAAAAAAAAAAAACGTTTCGCAAAGGGCAATGTATAAGGAATACTGAAGAAAACCACATTGTTGATCCCAGAAAATTGGACTCGCTTGATCAATTTTTCTCCGCGTTCAGGCTCTGATTTTACGATACATCCCAGTCAATATAAAATAACTAATCCACTATCAAAAGTATGCTCTTTGTTACGTTCTTTAAACTTTGATTATCTCGCCTATTCCAAAAATATCATCGTAAAATAAGTATGCAAATTTTAGTCAAACTTTCGGTGCTCTCAAGACAAGCTGTTTATTTACTCAAGATGAAATGCACTTTGACGACTTTCTATTTTAGAATTCGGTTCTTCTTTTGTCGTTTTTCTAAAATTGACAAGTATTTGATCGATGCCACCTTCTAAAAGCATTTTTCAAAAGTAATGCGCAGCACTGCTCGATAATGTTGTCATGAATGGTTCCGGTAAAAACTTAGTCAAATCATGATCTTTTTTTCACGTTCTAATGGATTAGATCAAGAATCGGGCGCACATTTGTTTAGAAACTTCAAAAGTACCTGGCCTTAAAAGTTTGAAGCTATGACTTTCAGTTCTAAACTTAAATGAATTATTATTTGTAACCCACATATGGAAGAAGAGAATTTTATTTGAAGTAAACCAAGGTACCTAATGGTCTGTAAGAGGATAAACTTTATCAGCAAAGGAAAGAGAAAACAGAAATGCACAACTCTCTGGGATGTAATTTAGTAAGTGGGCAAAACAGCATCCGTCTATCTCATTTTTTCCAGCATGTTACGATCCAAGTTTTTGGGACATATCAATTATTTGCTTTAATATTCTGCCATGCTCTAAATCCGGGGAAGACGCTCCATATTCTTGTTTAAGAAGACCTTTGGGAGTAAACGTATTTTAGCAGGTGCACCCTATTCTAAAGAGATATGCTGTGCGTGGGCGAAAAATGTAGAAATTTCGAGGAAGGGTATTCATTGCCATGGGAAGAACTACTGGTTTGTCACTCTGAATGGAAAATGCCTCTCCCCCTGCTCTCGCATCTGCCTCTTACACTTCCCAGTGGGCGGTCAGGTCCAGGCGAAATGATAAAGTAACTTTCAAATGACTTATCAATTATGAGCAGTAATGGTTTCCTACAATGTGTAGTTTTAGTTCGCTTTAATTGATAGTTGGCGACAGAAACCTGTAGAAAAGACGAAATGAAAATTGGCATGCTTTTAGAAGTGATCACGTACAAGCTTGAAAACCCGCAAAGAAGTTAAGGTAGTCTCTCAGACATGTTTCCATACTCTACGGTGACTTTACAACAACAGCGCTAGCCAGGAGTGAAATTCAAAAGATTTTTAAAAGCAGCACTCATCGTTTTCAGCATAACCTCTTCATCATCTGAATTAAAAGGTAAATTGCAATTAACTGGGTGCCTGGGTTAAGTTTGGAAGTGGCAACAGATTGGTAAGTTTCATTTAAAAGCTTGAAAACGATGAGGCCCGCGGTTTTTTTCCCTTGGGGTTTTTCTTGTTAATATCATTCTTCCTGCGTGCAACACGTTGTGATATTATCGAGCGAGGACTTTATTATGCAATTGAAATGGTTGAATAAAGGTAAAATTACTCACGAGACTCCTTATTCAATTTGGTTTCCGTTCGCTTTTTCAGTGGCAAGGAAAACAAAAATCATTTATTCTTTCTGTACAGTAGTTCGTGGGTCAGTTATCCAAGGCAATGTATGCAGACAAGACACGTCGCTATTCAGCAAAATCTAATTTTTATTTTCATTTTGTTGCAATGGTGACTTCTATAGTTGGAAAAAATCCCTTTATTGACAGTTCTTTATAATCATTTTGTTTGGCTTTTTATATGCATTTAGCACTGTTTTATAAAATGTCAATTTACTGAGGTTTCGATCAACCTAGAATCCAGAAAAGCAAAGTCTCAACTACATAATAGGGACCTTAAAGCAGTCAAGACTGCAACGCTAAGGAAGACGTCGATGAAAAAATTAAATCCTACTTTTGATTAGAAATTCGAAAATGGCTGCATGTGTTTACGGCGCCACACCTCAACTTTAGCACAACCTATAGAAATAGCATTGACTTCCAAATGTAAATTAAAATAAAAGGTGGTTTGCACGTTACGTCATGGCCGCCATGTTGATGGACGTAAACAATGGATATCTCATTAGCTTCTTTTGTTCGTCCACCAGCGTTTGCTCCTTTCACCATTGTTACTTTTGTCTCTAGAGATTGGTTGCAAACCACCTACTAGCCGTCGCGGTTTTCGTTCGCAGACGACGCAAATTTTGGTGATTTTCACGTTGTCGTTTTGCAAAGGACGGCTATGAAGTGTACAAAGTTTTAAAAAGCACGTGCTGAGCTATTGTTCTGCCAATTGCATCTTTTGTTTTTCCACGTCTTCCTTACCGTCGCCGTAGTGGTTTGCTTAAGGTCCATGACACAAGTAAATTTTAGATGGAACGAGAAAAAGGTATCATATCCGCGTACGATGTAGGAAATTTATAATATTCAATACGAAGTTCCTAATGTATTTCGCTCTCAACATGTATGACATGTTTTGTTTTGATTACTTTGAGTAGCGTTTTGTTTTTCTTCTGTAGAAAATTTTTTGAGAGAGAAAATTTGGACTAAGATATAATTTTTTATTTAATCACATGTCTATTGCTTTTTTAAATTGGTAAAATAAAACGAGTACGCGATTACAAAAATCCTCAGGAATAGAGCTCTTTTCTTGAATTACACCAGAAACATTTTTAAGTGATTCATTTGTATATCAGAAGCTTCGAAGTAGCGTTCCTCCATTGAAGGCTTTTATACAGGGGGCTTAGGTCGTTACGTCATAGCGACATATGTTGGTGGACGTAAACAATAAATATCTCATTAGCTTCTTTTGTTCGTCGACCAGCATTTGTTCCTTTCACCATTGTTACCCGTGTCTCTAGAGATCGTTTACGCCTGATTTCATAACGAAAAGCCCTCTCTTGTTTGAGCCGATCCCGGCTTGAATATTCCTCAACGTTTTCAACCAGTTCGCTTCAAAGATCTCAAAAGTAATTCTCCTTTACGTCTGCTATACATTTCGCATGATGTTAGTTCAGAGAAGATGGTGTTGGATCATCTAATGATTTCCGAATTGATATTATTCTTAATTCTTATGACAGACGTGTCTGCTTGATGTTGTATTGATAATGTAAGGGGACATTCTGCCCTTGTCACTCATGGTAGTGACAGGAGAAGCGAGTTTTTTCACCTCTGAACAACACTGTTGATTCTATGTTTATAAAAGATATATAATATATATATCTATTATATATATATATATATATTATATTATATATATTATATTATATATATTATATATAATATATAATAGATATAATGCGGGCGGTAGGTACAGATAGCAATTTACAATAAAATTTTAAAAGTTCGTCTTAGTGGAAGTAAAATACTGCATATATTTTCTTACTTTACTTTTAAACTAGCTCAGTACTTTATTCATGCTACTTCCGAAGCTTTCAAATTATAACTTGGACTTCCATAAACGATTTTTTTTAATCGTAATGGTGTTTGAAACCAGTTGTTCAGAAACGGCTTTAAACAATAAACGGCAGAAGCGTAATGAAGACTTCAATTTAGCACCAAGTTTTTGAAAAGTAACTTTTGGTTAGTTCTAGAACAAGTTGTGTACAAGTTTCGTAATTCATGATGCTAAGGACTGAGACCATTGCGACAGTCACTTTTAGGTAGACAAAACAGCCTGATCACAAAACACGTTTTGAATTCTCAATTTTTTTCATGGGGATGCATGTTTATAAACTGGTTCAATGATAACGTTCGATGAAAAATAATCCAATATAAGTCAATATAACAAACTAATATTTTGGTTTCGATAACCCAACTTGTTTGAAGTATAGCTGCAGTCTGTTTTCATGTGCGATGAAGCTAGGAAAGAATAACAACTTAGCGGAAAAAAGGTCAAGAGCGCTGGTATTAAGAGAAAACACTTAAATGCGAACCGAATTGGTGAATTGCTTCCTGTAAAATAAAATCATGGAAGAGAATTGTTTTTCTCAGCTTAATTCTTTTTCAAGCTTCCACAACATAATTCAAAATAAATCAGTTACTTCCTTTAATAAAATATTTTTCTGCTCGCTATGGAGGAAATTTGATTTTGTCGAACTTGTTGTCTGTCGTAGTAAGAAAGACCAATGTGGAATAATTCTCTTCATTTTCAGCTATTCATTGTCGAAATAAAAAAGGCAGATCTTTCAATTTGAAGACTTTGTCGAGGAGACTTTTGTCAAGAAAAATCAGGATTTTTTTACTGTTAAGGATTGCGTGCGATACCAATTGATGATTTGAAGGATTTGCTATTGGTGTGACAAACTGGACAGCACTAAATCTTCGACTGTTCGTCTTGACGCGAGAAAACGAATTAATCAATAAATGAGTGGGTCGATAAATACTATGGCGCAGGAAAAAACAATGTAAAAGTACTTTCCACTTCAACACGCTCCGCACGTAAACTGCAGAGAAGCCGCAGAGGCCTTCCAGTTATTCACTTTTTCTCCGAGAAACTTAGGGAAGAGAACTACATTTGAAAGGTTAGGAAATGTCTTTGAAGCTGCACAAAATGAAAACGATACGCAGCGAGCTTTTCCCTTATATTAGTAAGAGCTAAAATTTAACAGAAAACAACTTTTTCCACTATGAATAAGACTTTCTGTCCCTTGCTTTTCGACTTGCACACGTTTCACCATTCACTCGTTGAGTGTTTGGTGATTGGGAGCGAAAACATGATGCAGTTGTCGTAGTATGCTAATCATTTCGACCACCGTTATACATTAAACTACTGTTATTTTTTTCTTTTTTCATGAGAAAACTCAGGAGTGTTTCCGTCGTTCAAGAGTTCTTTTCTAGTTATTACCGTTGTCTCAGCACCGGGTACTCTAAATGAAGACAAATAGAAACTTGGCTTATACCATCTACAGACGTATAGGCGGTCTATTTGAAGTGACCCGAAAATTAAGAAGTCTTTTACGCAAAGAGGGTTTTTAACATTTAATCAAACGCAAATGGTATTATATTTTAAAATTTCATATTAAGATCCCCAGCTTTCAGGGCTCAACTTCGACTTTTCAAAGACAAAAGATTAAGATTTCAGTTTTCTTTTCCAATCAGAATGTAACTCAATATCGTTTCAGTAACTGACAACTGATGTATTTTGTAGGATGTATTACGTAACAGAATCTTAAGTAGGTTTTATTTAAGATTCATCTCACGATCAACCTAAAGCGATGTGAACTCGAAAAACCATGTCAAGGAGTAAATTTAGCACTGTCTTAAAGTGGTTCATCCATAAGACGACGGCCTTTGGGCAAACCGAAGCAAAAGGGGAATAATTGTTCTTTACGATAGATTCGCTCAATGCTTGAGCGAATGCTCGTCCATACATCCTGTAAAAATTGTATACTCTGCTGGGAAGATAAGTTTCTGCAAAAAAAATTAAATAAAAGTAGAAAAAAATACAACAACAAAGGCAACAGAACGAAGTCTCGTTAGTCAAAGAAGAAAAAAGAAATTTTAAAAATTATTAGCTTTGGTCCAATCAAGTGTCACCTCAAACTCATCTACTTGACCCGAAGTATCCATGTACGAGCCATCTGCAATTTAACCACTCTGCTTAACTCAGCAAGTAATAAGTTGAAAATTTTACTTTTATTCCTTGTACACTTGTTAGTGTTCGGCTTTTTGTGCAGAGAATTATTTAGACGAAGTTCTCTCGCTCATGATTGTAAAAGCAAACAATAAGATTTTTTTCTGGTTTTTAAAATTGAGGTATAAATTGAAATTTAGAACCTTTTTTGACAACATCATCAATATCAACTTATTTCTAGCTATGTCTAGGTAGTTTTATTTATGGTAAATAAGGCTACTTAAAAGACTGGACCTGCAAAACGAAGTGAATACCCTATTAAATTTCATCTCGGTGGCTTTTGCCAGGACCACTTCTACCCAACTATGGAAATTAAAGTTATTGCCAGCTGCTCAAAACGGTTGCTAAGCCACTTGAAAAATACGATTTTCTAGATATTGGAAGATTTCAAAAAAGCAAAAAAAAAAATTTTAATTGCACGTCAGTAGACTTTTCTAGTATCTAAAAAGGGTTTTGAATATATCTACTATTTATTTTAATACCAATTCGCAAAATTTTGTTTCGGTTCCTGCGAGTCTCGCAATTAAGTTCCTTCTTAGAAGTTAGCAAGCTAATATCATGAAGAACTTCTTTTGAAGCAGTAAGCAAAATCCGATGAGACAGAAACATTTCCTTTGTTTTGTCTTCAATCGTGACCTAAACTGTGCAGCCGGCATCAATTTCAATTCTTTTTTTTTGGGGGGGGGGAGGGAAAGTAGTTTTTGGTTTTCTATTTTCTCCTGCTTGTCATCACTTAACGATCCAAAGCTTATGTTTACCTTTATTGTTGCTGTTGTAGAATTGGAAACCTTGAAAATGAGTTGAATTGGTGTAAATGCGCCGAAATGCACCACTTTGCACGAAAACCTAAATTCGCCGAGAATGCACCAGTGGCAGCAAACCTCCACGCTGACTTCATCGATCGGTAGTCATTTACCTTATCGCTTATCGAAGGCTTACAAAATAAATGGCAAAAGAAACGTACGTCGTCATCAACAATTGGTAATTGCTCTAAATCGCAGGACAAAGGAATAACAGTTCCTTTATTTTTGTTCCATCTCAACAATATTCCAAATAAAAATGTTTTTTTATATGTAATGGAAATTTACATTGAATCAGCGCATATAAAATTTCGAGTTTATTTAAAAATTTCACATGTTATTACAAGAACTTCCCTTACAAGACGAATATCTGCGACAGAAAAAAGAAAAGGCAGAAATTTCGCACGGCTGCTGTGCTAAGTTTTTGAAATCTTGATTGATGCGTTTTGTTTTTGAGTGCTGAGAATCTCTTCTCGTTTGAGAATCAAAGATGGATGCACTTAACACTTTCAGTTCGATGAAGGTTAATTTTTTTTTTCTTTTTGTGTTCGCTGTCGCAATGAATACCACAGAATCAATTCAAACCGTACCATTTTCTTTACTCTTTTGTCTGAAGAGAACGTCTCGATAAGAAATTTGGATATCTACAGCAATGTATGTGTCAAATTTGTGAGTCATTGTGCTAACAAGAGAAAAAAAGGCAGATGTTTCAGGATAAAATAAAAAGACAAGCAGATAAAGTACTTTTGTGGAAGGAGATGTAGGATTTTATATGAACTGTGGTGCTTGCTTAGTTTAACATTTATTTTTATCCTAAACACAGCTGGTTCTTACTAGTTTTCAGCTTCTTCTTCTTTTAATTTTTTTTCCCTCGGTTTTTATTGACTTATGAATTGCTATCCATTTCTGATAAAGAAAACAATCCCTAAAGAAAATCATCATAAAAAATCAGTAAATATCAAATACACTCCGAAAAGACAAAGATGGAGAGGGAACAATAACGCATTATTAAAAAAACTCCTCGCAATATTGTTCTTCAACTCAATAAAAGTTGAATTTGGTTAATGATGATGCGAGTGATTAAAAAAAATTCTAGAATTTTACATTTCCGTGGGAGTTAAGGGCCAATTATGTCTGACGAATTATGTCTGCAAAGAGCTCAATCGGCAAAATGAACCGTATACCATGGAATATTTTTCCCTCCAAACTTGCTATTTCTTCGCCGACAAGATTATAGTATACTTGTCTGCAATATTAACCCTCGCAGTTGATTTATCAGGAAGATCGTTTGGGTTGGTTTCATGGACCGCTAACTTAGACGAACCGAATTGGTTCAAGTTTTGCCACAACGTTTTAGTTCCTAGTCCTGAACTGATATTCTCACAGTAGATTTTCCCCATGAATTTAAAGAACATTTTAAATGTAAATAGCGATAAATGACTTCACGGACTTGAGGGAAACTGAAAAATACGCTGGTGGAAAGGTTGCATCATCATTAGGGGAAACGTAAATCCTGAAATTTCATCTGAATTGCAAACTAATGTAAAAATCCTCTTCAGTCCTTCCGTTTCCCTCGCGAATGTTTGGTGGTTTAGTTTAGCCATTCTTTGTAACTCAGTCAGAGGCAATCTCAAGGGGAGACATAAAGGCTGAAAGAGAAATCTGAAATACTTATCTTTCAGCTACGATACCAGGTGAAAATGAACGAAACCAATAGTATATACTATTTTTTACTGTCAGTTTAATATTTACCCAGCCCTCGCCGAGCGTAATTCATGACAGTCTTAGCAAATGAACAAAGAATAATTTCTTTTATTGTTATTTTGCAGGTGCAGCTAGCAACAGCTTAATTAAATATATTTCTAATTTTTTACCTTTCTTCACACGTCAAACATCGAAAGATTGCAAAAGGTTGCAGAAAAGATATTCAGTGTTCGAGAAATTTCAGGAAATTACGTCCCTGAAAAAGCGAAGACTAAAAAAGGTTTGTGGAGTTTTCCTCAAGTGTTTTTATACGGTAAACAGAATGAAATTGCAAGAATTATGATCACAAATGATGTCTCGTATTTACTCTCTTGTTGTGAAAAGAAGACAGTGTAACGAAGTTTGAAGGGAAGCGCTGTAATCTGGTTTCACTAGAAATTTATTTGGTTTCGTGAGTACTTTTGGGGTCGGCCTCAGATCATGGTGAAAGGTTATAAATCAACTATTTACTATTATGAATTTCCAAGAAATATCATGTTCATTTTCGAAAGAGCGCTTCGAAAAAATCCACCAAAATTCTCTTCCTGCGGTGGCTAAATTGCATTAACTGAAAGGATGTAAAAAAATATTTAGTTCTGATATATTGACTAATATGAACTTTGTTCTGTTTATGTTCAAGAAGCATATTCAGTTGCATTTATATCCACAATTATATGTTTTATGATCCTAGGTCGAATCTTTAACGAACGAGTCATCTTGATGTAGGGATCCGTCGAAGTATTAGTCTTGCAATGGAAGTCTTGCAAAACAGAATTAAGAAAAACATTATATCGGGTCGTCTCGTATTCCGTGCAAAATGCGTGTTTTAATTTAAATGAAACATTGGAAATGTGTCACCCGCATTCTTAATTCTTTTCAACTGAGCAGAGTGGATCATTGAGCACGTTAAGACACCATGTCACCGCCGAAGGGAAAAGACATTTTCAAAACAGATTGTCATGATCGGTTCTGAGTTTTTGACGAAAAAAAGACTTGTAATTATTGAAACGGTATCCAATCGCATGTGTTCCAAGTGCGAAAAAAGGGAGAAAAATATGCTTTAACTCGTAATGTGCTGAAATTTATATCAACTATTCAGCCGATCTCGGGTTCTTTTTTCGCAAGAAAGTCCATTTGATTCATAAAAAAAGATATCATAATATCGGTCAGCAATTCTTAGCACAGGCTGTTAAAACTGTTCATACTCAGTAAGAGTGAATAAGCTTTAGATATGTCCAAAAAAATAGAAAAAGGAAAATGAAAATGCAAATTTCAATAATGAGTAGTCTATCATCAAGTCATAACTTACCATTTTTTTATGTTTCAATAAGCTTTTGTGACAACATTATTTGAATACCTGATGGTATAGAGGTATCTGCTCTAAAGTATCCACCTCTAGCTACATTGGTAGCTAAAGCATCGGGATGGAAAAGCCTAGGTTCTAAGGAGCCATTATTATTGTAACGTTTTTCGTCCAATATTGCTAATATCACACATACTGAATAGGTGTGAAGAGTGCTTTTGGCATAATTTCTTTTGCCATAATTTGCTTCAAATGAATTTATTGATTTTTGAGGGTTTATGGGCTTTGCAATTGTGTTTTTAGGAGTGTCTACTTTTCCTTTACCAGGAAAAATCTTAGAAATATTAGAGGTTAGACTCAGCAGAATGTATTGACCTGACCCGGCTCTAACGGCTCCGATTTAAATTTAACAGTCAATTTTTTTTCCTTTCCTTTTTGACCTTTTTTATTAATACAGATTTGGCCAGAAAGAGCAACAGTCCTAATTTCAAGTTTCTATTTAGGCTAATCCAGATTATTTTTTCTAAAGCTAACATGAAATCAAAATACTTTAAAAGCGACAATGTCTGATTACTCGTTGGAGAGAGAGATATCTTTTGCTGATGTAGATTTTGCCACAAGCAGCGGCATCAGCCTTAATTTCAAGTTTCTATTAAGGCTCATTCAGATTGTTTCTCCTAAAACAAACATTGAACAGCTGATAAATTGTTAGATAAAGCAATATTTCCGTCATTTTTCCAAGCCAGAGATTACAATCAGTGTTTTGTTGCTGTGTTGAACTTTGATAGGTTAACTGTTGCCCTTTTCAAATTGAGACTTTCATATTTGTTTTGATTTTGAAGTGTTACTCGGTCTTTTTTCAGGTGTGAAAAAATGCTAAGCAGAAACAAATATTTACTAAAAATTCTTTACACCCATTAATCAGAAATATAAAATACTTAGGCAGAGAATTCAAATTCGCGATCGTTATTCAGCCGACACGATCCTTTCCCAATTCGTTGATGTCCATTCACACGACTCCAATTAGATATAATACTTTCAGATTTCCAAGCTAAATCTATTTTAAGTTAACTAATGACGCGGGAAAATTTCCGGGGTTAAATATAAACGTAAGGACAGCAATCTCCTCTTACTGATGAAAGAGATCGAAAATACTTTTTTCGCTGTATAATAAAGCCATGATGCAGCACAGCATGACAAAAGATTTTGTCACTCAGTAATTCAATCTTTTTTGATGTCGCGGTTTAATTCAAAGAAGT